ATACCAAAATATCTGTCTTTCCCATAAAAATGAACAGAAACACTATAACTACCTTCCAGCACATTCGTCCTCTGATTGAATATGTAACATGGTTTATCTTTATACAGAGGCATATCTTCTAGGTTAGGGGACTGATAGTGATTCGGTTCTTTCCATCCACGTTCCCAAGGAGGAAACTTCGGCTTTGCCAGTCCAGGGACGAAGTGCATCCTGTCGGCATAAGTGATCGGCTCCAGTCCGGATATTTCATGGACCACTCGAGGTTTTCTTCTCGGAAGAATCTTCCCATATAAACAAGAGCTGGTGGATAAGCAGCGACGTCCATGAGGAATCATAATGAGGACACTATGACTGTCTTTTGATTTACAGTTTTGAGTTATTTTATAAGCCGACGTGCTAACTCTTTGCGCTGTTGCTTTAAACATTTTTACTAGCATGTATAATAGGTGTCTGAAATTAATATACTAGTCTATGTTCAACAAAACCAAATGATGTTCGTCGTTGTGACATTTTCTCTTTGCACTCAGGAGGCGGCCATGATTGTACGACATCACGTGGGGAAGTCTGTCTTCTTCTGGAAACGTGCATGTTAACAGATATTACGCATCACTGCCATCTATCGATCATTGCAGGTTACTGCATAAACGTACTCGAGGCCTATGTACTCACTGGCCACTTTGTACGGGTTGGACCCCTATTTGCTTTCTGAACTGCTGTAATTCTTTGTGCGCATCCATGATGCAAATCTCTAATTTCACCACATCCCTTCTGGACTGAGATCTGGTGACTGTTGGCGGCCATTATTTGAGCTTTGTGACATGCCGCGATATCCTGCTGGAAGTAGCCATTACAGAATTAATTCATAAATGATGCACATGGTCAGCAACAATAGTATTGTTACAATACTCAGGTAGGTTGTGACATTTAAATGGTGCTCAATTGGTATTAATGGGCCTAAAGTGTGCTGAGAAAATATTCCTCACACCCAGGGGCACCGAAATGGGGGGGGGGTTAGGGGGATTCCAAAGGCCCGG